CTTCAAAGAAAGGAAATAGCATAGAAAGGGCCCTATATATTTTCTTTACACTCTTTAACCATGTCAGGCAAAGTCTTTTGAGGTTGATTTGATATATTCTAGCTTTACACACTTTTTTCTTCAAGAGACTGGCACACTATAAGAAACATATCCTCACAATTATTTGGTATTCATTTGAATTACCTTCATGATATAATCTACATGTACACATGTACATGTTTTATATGCATAATTTTTTTTTAACAACTAAACTTGGCAAAACTACTTAGAAGTTTCCAATGACTTTATTCTGCGATATGTACATATTATACTACAAATACATGTCTCTTTGCTTTTCTTTAGACAGTCACTTTGTACAATGTTCATTGTTGTTATTGATGAAATTTTGTTTTGCAAAGAAACTATTTCATAATCATTCCACGTACATCCTAGACAATTTGTAAATGGCCATATGTCTTTTAATTTTACCTCTTTTACAACATATCCAAAATGCATTCATTTCATTTTATCAACATTTTAATTTGTTCATATTAAGAATTGCAATTAGACAACATTTTATAAATTTGCATATTGCTGCATTATTTTAATTCTATATTATTTGTTATGTTTTATATGTGCATTTCAGAATTAAATGAAATCTACATCAGATATGAAACTAGTGAATGTACATTGGGCCATGGTACTATAAATGTACTACAGTGTATACATGATCATAGAGGTAAATTGCTATTTCGTCTACGACCCAAAAACAAATGTAGTCTATTCCCATATGGTCTACCCCCAGCATTTTGGCGAGCCAATTGAATAATTGCAGGTATTTGGGCAGTGTCAACAGAAATGAAACAAATGGAAAATGTGCTTGTGTTGTGAAAATGTTTAGCAGAGTGAAAATATATAACGAGATACTCACATCTCTCCTGTGAACAATGCTAGAAAATTACTCAAACATCATACATACTAAAAGCTGATTTGTGATTACTTATAACATTAATGACAAACTATCTTCTTGAAAAAAGTTTCAATGCCTAAAAGAAAAAAAAATACGCCCTCACAGTATTTGGGAAAAATATCCCAAACATCTGTTTAGTCAGGCAGGAATGAATGCAGATATACAATATGTACAAACTTATTCATGAGGTTTTATTCAAAACTTTTGATTTGTAAAAGTACCCATAATCTTCTGATGTTTTTTCGTAATTAAGAGGGTGTGAAATCATCCTCTGATAGCACTTGTGTTGTCAAAAGGTTACCGTGGTAATGGCACGGTTAAATGGAGGTGTGCATAATATTATGTTCCTAACAATAAACATAAGGTACTCATACTAAAGGTACTCATACATGTACATGTAGCTACATGTGAGCATTAGTTTGTTAATTGAACTCTAGGGAAATTTGTGCCCACTCTCTTCTTCCATGAATCAATTTCAAATGTACTTGTACATGTACATGTACCTGTAGGCAGGCCTACTGCAGGCTACGCGCAGACATGACTGCAGTTTGTTTCAATGAGGCGGAGCGGGAACATATGTCCTTGTAGATACAAGCAGAAATAAATTATCTAAAATGGGGGAGGGGGGGGGGGGGTGAGTGTGCTCCAATAATGACCCTAGACAATTCTGAGTTGCCTGTAGATCATTATGTGCTTTTACACCTTTGTTCACTTATAAATCCTTAATTCAGATCCCATATCTCCACAATGAGATTCAATCTCTTTTATTTACACAAAGCATTCCCATGTAGTCGCTTGACAAACCTGACCAGTCACCACAAATGGGAGTATGAGTTTCTCCTTCCAAGGATTACATGTACTGGTATATCAATCTACATCAAATTTTCACATACATGTACATCATTGTTAAAGGTAATACAAAGTTTTGGTATGGGGTCATGAATTTGGTTCAAATGAACATATTGGAAGCATATGCGATCCTAAAATATTCAGTGATCGTTGTCGCGGTTGAAATCGAGTCTAAAGTTATGAAATTGTAAATAATAAACTATATATGTTGTATAGCTGCCTCTCAAGGTCAAGATATTAATTAAGCCATAAAACAATGTTTCTTGGCTATAATCGACCGATTAGCTATTCCCGTTTGGAAATTATATATCACAACTACATTTTCTGAGATTTTCATGGTCGCAGCTACCATTGTACGGTCATAGGCGCTATTTGAAATTTTTCAAAATTTACCGGGAGCACCGGTAAATTTGTATATTCCATTTTTCTCGAAAGCAGAAGTGTTTTAGGGGCTAAATTTTCTAGTGCATCCACGGGGGCATCCAAATATATCAAAATTGTAAAGAATCACTCTCCGCCCAATGTTCAAAATTTCCCAAAACTTTGTATTACCTTTAAGCGTATTGTAGGCCTACTTATGCCCCAGTCAAATGCCAACTTCAATCCCGAATCAAGCACTACATGTACTACAATCCTGAACCTACATTCAGTGACGAATCCAGGGGGGGGGGGGCACTGGAGGCACGTGCTTCTCCCCCCCCCCCCCCCCCCCCGCCCCCCAAAAATATGTTAAAATCAGCCCTAAATTCACCTCAAATATATTGAAAAACAGGGTGTTTTTTTTGGTTAAATTTTATTTAAAAAAAACAAATTAAAAACAAATTGTGACCCCCCCCCCCCAAAAAAAAGTGTCCTCTTCCCCCCCCCCCCCCCCCCCCCCCCCCGCTTATTCAGCGGCTGGCTGAGTCGTTGCGATGTCTGTACACGTACATATGTTAAAGCAATCCCTGCTCAAGCCCTAAACCTGCAGCGTACACATATTATCTTTTAATAAGGCACATGCAGAGCAAACATGACTGTCAACTTGTCGAGCAAGTTGATTTTAGAAAAGCGTGAAACATTTTCATACTATTGACTTTATACATGGAAGTGTAAAGAAGAGACTATTACAGTTCGTATATGAAATATTTATTTCAAACAATTACAAATGCATGTTATTTGAAAAGATGAAATTTCAAAGATCTATTTGTATTTACAACATGTACATGTATATGCCATTATTTTTGCAAGAGTTTAAATTTTGTAAATTTTTGCACTTGCAATCCATATTGTTAGAATTAAATATCGGGAAATCAACAACTTGCAAAGACATCTGTGACCCTGTCATCTGCAAAAATGTCTATGTCACAAAAAATATCAGTGAATACAATACTAGCATTCCAAATCTTTCTTTCTTGTGCACTGTCCATGTCAATACACAGATACCATTGGTGCAAATATGCTGCTCTTCTAATTATCAATGCATGAATTCACTCCATGCCTTGAATGGGTTCCTTCACAAAGTCTATACCACGATAAGCAGCGTAGCATCAGACACCTGCACAGTTTCCCAGCTACGGACGAGCACATGTGTTTACAGCCAGTCAGATATATTACAGGGTGCGTCTACTCTAAATCAATACCTTCTCCAGATTCCAGATAAATCTGAAACTTCTACATGTACGTATATGCACGAAACATTCACAATTACTTCATATTAACAGCAGTTTTTGCCATGACAATAGCTGTCATTGACACAGAAGTATCTGGTTATACAACTTGCATACATTTTAGCCTCTTTTCACTGTAGAGAGCCAAGAATACGACTATGGCATTACTGTTCCATTGGAACTGTGTGTTTTTTTTTCTGAATTAGGAATTTGACCTCAGAATAAAAAGGATTTTTTATCAATAAAATAATACAATCACGAACCTGAAATTTCTGTTGAGAGGAAAAAAAGATTGATTTTCATATTGATAGAAATGTGTACTGAAACTAAAAGTTTGTACATGTACGTTTACACATGTATGAGGTATTAGATTATCTTTTTTGATAAGTCTCTCATTTCAGTATGGATAATGTGATTACACAGAGATAGGTAAGGAGATGTTGCTGACTATAATTATATATACAAACCCTTTTACTAATCAAATAAAGAATAAAACCTTGTATGGCCACACTCTTTTAGAGAGAAAGAACCCATTACAGTAATCTAGATTATATGCTCTGGCGCTTAGACTGAAGGTCATAGCACAAACACAATCCATATTTACACTCCCCAATCGCTTTAATATACAAATCATTGAGCATTCACAAACACATGCCTTTTACCTTGATGTGTTAAATGAATTTCGGCACTCAGAATTTGTGCGCTCAATTTTAGAACTAGATACATCAGATTTGTTGGAAGTGTTCTTGTATACTTGAAGTCGTGATTATTTATATGTTCGTATATAAATGCCTCTCTTGACCCAGGTTACATTTGAAATGGTTACTTGATAATAACATATATAATATATCAAAGACCTTGCATCACACTCTAGCACCAAAGTCAGAACTACATCCTGGATTATGATATATCTGTGCATGAGGGAGCTTGAAGCACATTGTAAATGTAAATTATATCTCCTTACGTTACTTGTGAGTGAAGCCCTTCAACATGCTACTAGGAAAATCAGAGAATAAAACCTATGCATGATCTGGCTGACAACCAGCAAAACTAACTACTGACAAATAAGCAAGTAAGCATTCAGCATTCAGCTATATAGTCCTCCGAATATAACTTAAGTTCAACCCACGCTGATATCTTTTAGAAGTGCTCCGACATATGCTCCAACAACAATAGCTCAAGTCAATACACTGTATTTCATAAAAGTATAAAGTAAGGGTCATGGTTGCAATAGGGTTTTAGGTTAGGTGAGGTTTAGAGTTAGGGACAGGCTTAGGTACATGAAGGCCTACAGTTTTTGGTCCAATGTTAAAGGTCGAACTGGAGTTCTATTTGGTTTAGGGTTTGGTTTAGGGTTAAGGACAGTTTTAGGTAGGCCTATACATGTAGCTTTTGGTCTCGTATTTCAGTTAATTGTTTGCTTAGTTTAGGATACTGATCATGGAACAGTTGCCATAGGAGCAACTTTTGGATGATGATGTAATCGGTTGGCCCCAGATATATACATCTGACTGATAGACATAGACATCTGTATAAACCTGATACACACTCACCCTAAAATCGATTCCCACTGTTGAGATAAAGCTACCGGATAGGAAGGCGCCATCTTTAAAGCGAACCAGTAAACATGTTTTACCGACCCCTGAGTCTCCTATTAGCATCACCTGCAAAAATATAAAAGGTAAGAACGATACTGAATAAATTAGATTTAAGTATGAAATTCATCAGAAAATATGATTTGTCAAACATGAACAAAAATAATCTGAAGCTCATATTCTGCATATACATGTAAATGTACATGTCATGAAACTTCTAAACAAAAACCAATGCCTAAATATATATATTTATATTTGATCTGCAAGATTGCTCTCCAAAAAGAGGGGTACATGTAATGTTATAGTGTCCTTGTAGATATGTAGATGTATTGAAGGGGAAGTTGATTAAGAAAAAAATGTATTCGAATCAATTTTTAAAGTCAATGATATACATGTACCAAAAATAATTCTTGTATTAGAGATCAATTTGCTATTGGCCAAGAAGTAGATTCCAGAAATGGAACTGGGGTTTTGGTATTAATCAGAGTTATACAGGTTAAGTATAAATAAATTCAATCATATTTATCTACAAACAAACAAGGTGTTAAAAAGTTACACCATATTAAAATGGTTTTCTTTTGATTATACGTGCATGTCATGTTCAAGCAAACTGGTTCTTTTGGGGATTGTTAAATAGTGGAAGAAATGTGTCATCTGGAACACCAATTACGTTAGCTAACATACTCTCATGCAGACATCATTTTCAGGGTAACCACCCCAGGCTCTCACACTTGGTTTCACCAGTCCCCACCCTTGTAACGATCCTCCTAAGGGATCTACCTTATGCCTCAGTCACACCTTTGCATATTTGGCTCGCGTCTTGCTGCGTATTTATTGCAAGCCATTTTAACATTTATTCCTATTTCTTGAATTTTGATATCATGAAATAGGAATAAATGTTAAAACGGCTTGCCATAAATACACAAGCCAAATACGCAAAGGTGTGACTGAGGCATGAGGGATCTAATTTCTTGTAACTTTTCTTTTATCTTTTCTTTCATTTCTTTACCCCCATGCACAGTTCTTGTGCACCTACATGTGTAGCGCGTGGACAGGAAATAAAATGGCGCGTAATCGTAATCAGAAATAAATATGAGATAATTGGTATTCTGAAAATACTTATCTTTTCTTTTATCTTATCTTCCATGGTACATGTAGTTAGAAGAATATTTACAACGGGGTAGATGCTGCTGTATCTCATGATAGCAGTAATTTTTCTAGCTCAGCTTCGGCAATACATGCTTGAGCAGCGAGAAGGAGGATCTGTGTGCCCCAAGATCTGTAGCTCAACATTTAAACAGACTGGGCTTTGATAATTTTCAATGTGATTTAATTCTAGCAGGAGAGGAGGCACCATTTTGTTGATTAATTGCAGCCAATAGAGGATTTATGCGTAACTTATTAATTATGCCCCAAATTGATATGATTGGTTGACCTATAATTTATATGTATATGAAATCTACTTTGATTAGTAATGTTTAAGAAAATAAGATAGAGGCAGAGCTTCCACAGACAATAAACCACAAGACAATTTTCAGAATACCAAATTACAAGAATGTTAGCGTACTATTATCCCTGGAAGATACAAGAAAACTTACAAGAAATCTTACAAGGATTTTCAGAGAAGACCACCCCTGGTCAATCCATGTATTAATCAGGAACGAGGAGGAGGAGGGTATCTCCTTTGATATTCTAACCCATATCTTGGCCTTTGACATTTCAAGCCACGTCTGGTTAGCTTGGGAGAAAGTAATACTAATTAGGGTCTACTGATAGATGTTTTCGCCGCTGGCATCGTCTAGTTTCCAGACACAAACCCTTGTAGATGATAACAGGTAGCACAGTGTCTGAAGTTCTGAACTGTAAGACTATACAATTGTTAGTTACCATGTCTACATGTTCATGTATGTCGCAATCCAATTTGAGATTCGAATAGATCTAGTGATTTCATGCTTCCAACATTCATATCTCTCTTATTATTGGCCTAATTTATTTCAATCTTTCATTATTCTTCTTCACTTATTTTCTGCTTCCATTCAAATGAAATTTGAGTTTGAATTGCCCTTTAACTCAAGGCAACAATGTATTTGCCATTCCATTTGGCCAACAGAAAAAGATAATTACAAATTTAAAATGCATAGTATGAAATGAAACATTTAGCCATACGAGCCTACGGGGTATGAATGTGTAGACTGGGCCTTTGGACAGGTGGGTTTGCCATTTTGCCTGGTATAGCAAGATTGCCTTTATAATCCAGTTTATGAAAATGAGATGAAAGAAAATAACATCAATAATTAGATAGTAATAACATGTAAGTAGTAATAAAAACACAAATATTCTCTTTTCACAAACAGCTCACAAATGCAGGCCTACAACACACTGTGCAATACATCTTTCAAAGTGTCTGTATTGTATGTTGTGTCACCAAAAACTATTTTACTCTGTATGTTAGAGGCTCCATGTTGCTTAACATTTAAGACTTAATTTCTATAAAGAGATATTGCAAGCAAAGATAAACTCTCATCTAACATAAAACCAACTACATGTAGTGCCTCTAGTGAGTGAGACTACTTGCTGCACCTGTGTACAAACATTTGCCCAGTAAAAAGTTTTAGAGGTTGACTTTAGCTGTACATTATTTTTTGTGTGACTGGCATAGAAGGTTTAAATCTACCAAGGCAACACAAGAAAAATAAAAAAAAATAAGAGAGAGAGAGAGAGAGAGAGGGGGGGGGGGGGAGAGGGAGAGGGAGACAGAGAGAGAAAGAAAGAGAGAGAGACAGAGACAGACAGACAGAGAGAGAGAGACAGAGAGAGACAGATAGAGAGACAGAGAGAGAGACAGAGAGAGAGAGAGAGAGAGAAAGAGAGAGGGAGAGAGAGAGAGAGAGAGAGAGATGTGATTGCTCCAACAGAATGGGAGGACCCCAGGGGTAAACAGATTTATCTTTTCATCTATAAATCAGAAAAGGGGCTGGCCTGAAAATTTCAGGCTTCATCAAGAAAATACATGTACCTGCAAGTGCATGCATCTATTAATCATTTAACAAAACAGAGAGATGTGGCCTAGAAAATAGTGGAGTTCACAAGTTTACTCCACAAGATGAACTTATACTTGTTTTTTTGAAGTGTTATTATTCTTCCAACAGTTGATCTCTAATTTTGTGAAATGCATTGAGCACATCTTTCATGGTGACACAAAAGGCTCACTCATATGATGCAGTAAGTACATTTGTTGTTAATTAAAGTACACCTTAGCATTTGATTATGGATCCTATAACAAATTAAACCTACAATGTAAAATGTGTTACCCTTTCTGTATCTTACATCAACAATAAATCAACACTAATGTACCCACATGTACATTTCAGACCAATGCACTTAGTTTGTTTTATCTCCACTTATGGCCCGGTCCCACTAGCCGACGGACACAAAACGTATGCATAAAGGACACAGCGAACGAGCAAAATTTCGGGGGGGGGGGGGGGGGGGGGGGGTGGCTTCATCCGTTTTCATTCGCTCCAGAAATGGACAAAATTTGCAAAAATTTGCGAAAACAGAACGGAAAATAACGGACGTGGGTAGTATGTAGCGGGGATGTTAAACGGATGTTCATCGTAAACCTAGCGGATGAAAGCGGATGACAGCTTTGAATACTTTATATACGAGATGCATACGCTTACATCCTTTCTATTTCCGTGCTACTAACGATGTATAGACGTTCCATGTACCTTATCTTTCCTCCCTCTTTCCGTTTTCAGCTGCAGCGGATGTGAGTTGCGAGGATGCCCAGAGGATGCAGAGAGGATACAGCGGACGTTTAACGGATGATAACAGACATAGAACGTTTGTTGCTCGTAATTGTCGCGGATTTACATCGTACACGGCGGAAGTTCATCCGTTCTAAAAGTTTTGTGCAGCTCAAAACTTTTTGCGCAGATGAAATCACAGTGGACGGATGCTCGATGGATAGAGCGTATGAAACACGTGCAATGAGTACGGAAGGGATGCATAGCGTTTTCCAACGGATGGCAAGATTTTTTTAAAGTTTTACATCCTCTTTGCATCCGTAAGTGCAGTGGGACCGCTGGCCTTTACACATGAAAACAAAAAAGCTGTTTGTTGTTTTATACATGTAGTTTGTACACCCCTTTCACTATATTCAGAGTTCCTTTTTAATACAAGCTTCATATACATATCTTGTGGTCTGAAGTTCTGAACAAGCAACATGGACATGTATTAGGCAAAGGTTTTTACAATTTAAACATTTTGAATTGTAAACTAAAATGCCACATACACTGTACAACCACCTGTATACCCAAATGTGTAGTTGCTTGGGGGAGTGACCATCCACCCCTTAAGATTTCAACTAGCAAAATGTTGTTGCTTTCTTTGTTCACAATTATATCATGATTCTATTTGGGTTATGTATGATTGTATGTAAATGCAAACAGATCAGGGGACCTTTCTTTTATCTTTTGGCAGAATTAAAACATTTTGGAACCTTTCCTTTGAGCTTTTTAGAAAAAGGCAAGATTTTGTATGGCGATTTGGTCTGGCAAAATCAACAAATCTATCTTGTTCATCTTTCTCAATTGAACATTCATTTGAATAAAATGTATTATAAACACAAGGATAATGTAGCCCATTACAGTTTAACACATCAATTGGTTAAAAAACGACAGTGGACATCAACAGACCAGTAATGTGTAATTCATTTTACCAGATCAAAAAACAGATCAACATTTGAGCTTATATTCTACAAGCAATTTTGACTTGAAAATGTCTGATAGTTCAATTAATGATGTTGGGAGGCCATGAGACACCCGTAATTGACATCATTAAGGAATTCCCATGAAAGCTCCCCTAATGACCAGCCATTTATAAGCAGGTATAATTTAATGCTGGAATATTCCTTCACTAAAGCTGAAGGGAAAGGTCGCATGTAAATTGCCATCTGGACATATTATGCAAAAAGGAGGAGGGGGGGGGGGATTGGCATTGATGTTAAAGGTACTTTTCAATTTTTAAAAAAAACATGAAATTAAAGTGGATGGATTGCAAGTGGCCTAAAATGGATAGGAATCCAGAGAGGCTTACTTCAGAAAAGACTTTTCTTTAAAGAGCTTTGAAAAACAAAAATAAAAACAAATAAAACAAAAAAGATTCAGGGTACTTCTTTATAATTATGTCGCAGGATAATTGAGTACCGGTACACATAATTTCGCACGGGACATTTTAAGAAACATTTTCCAGCCTTTCAAGAAATGGAATCAGCAGTGAAGATTTGTTTCATTGTACTAGTAAAGCGCAGGAGGCTCTATGAAGATGACAATTAACTATATATTTCACTTTCTTGCCAAGATAATATGTTGTACGGGGCACAGAAAATAGTATTTACTTGAAATTCAATTATACATGGATGCACAGAACTCTGTGAGTTACTTATCACAAATGTATTTAATGGATAATCTAGATCCATGTATCTACATGTACATGTACATGTAAGTTGGCTGTAATACACCTTTAAAGGTAAAGACCAGTATTGGAAACGCCCCAATTTCAAAAAATGAAATGGAAGCTCTCATTACCAATCATGTGAAAGAATATGTTTTGACTAATACATGATGATAACAAATTTGCCGGGAAACCGCCTACTAATTCATATATTTGGTAAATTTGTTTCTCTCATGGTCTGTGAGAGATATAGGGTAGTCCCATATACATCTTTCTGTGTATAATGCTTGTAACTTTACGAAGAATGTGCCAAATTTCTTATCATTTTGATGATTCCAGAACCTTGCAGATGCTAGATGCTAGATGATCAACCTTTTCTGATCGATTCCACAACGTTTCTTTCACAATGCAATCGCATGACCATAACTGGTCTTTACCTTTAACTTTGAATAAACATCTTCGGTACGATACAAATCATGTACTGTAAAGTGGATTTAGTGTTTAATTCCCTTGACTCTCATTACAGTATTGAAGTCAGTAGCCTTATAACTACATGATGTTCAGTGTACATGTATAAAATGTGTGTATAGAAGGGTACTTGGTGAACATTTCAAGGCCTCAAATACTACATCTTATCATGTACAATGTAGGAGTGTAGAACAAATTTGAGGTGTATTAAACGAAATAAAAATTGCAATCCAACTTGCTACATGTACATGTATATTGTAGGGAATGAATACTGTATCCTTACAATGTACACGTTGCATCGCTGGCTACTTTGTATGAAAATGGAGTTCAGGTAATTAAAGATTTTGAGCCACATGTATGCACTACACTTATAACCACACACCCAAGCCATCGGTTTGTGTGTGTGTGAGTGTGAGTGTGATTAAAAGGCCATGCAATCAACTCCTGTAATATTATGTGAACATGTAATTTATTACACTCTAGGGAGGCAATCTGGGGCTGTAATGATTTGCAATTTAAACAGTATGAAGCTGGATTTGAAAAACAGTGGGTAAAGATTAAACATATTACATTTTGTCATGTACATTGTATATTGTACATGTATAGAGCTACAGTATACATTTTATACAATATGAATTCAATTTGCTTCAGAATGAAAATACTGATGAACATGTACGATTCTTCCACTTGTAAACTACTGCAAAATACCATTATAATAATGAAGCAGTGAGAAACTATTGAAAATAAATTTCCAGAAACAGCAAATTACAATATATAAGCAATATTCAAATTAAGGTAATTTTTAGTTCAAGAAATGCTATAAAATAAAATTCCATATATGTGATCAAAATTTATACAATAATTAAGAAATAAATATATGCCTTCCCAAACAATCGTAGTTGAAGAAAAAAAAATGTTGTGAACAGATGGTATCTGCTATATTCCTGTTATAGTCTAGCAACATTGTGTCTCTACATTGCATACAGTCTTTCCAGAGCAAGAATGGCATTACATGTGACTCTATATTATAGTGTGTATACCGGCATTCAGGTAACATCCTTCTGGCTTTAAATACCTGTAGGAGATTTGAAAACCATCTACCTGTCGGCACCGAAATACAGTTGTATTGTAAAATCAAGGTCCATCTGATATTGCATACTACCAAATAAAGACATTAATGAACATTAAAAACATCAATTTACAATTTAACCCACATGTATTGTAAACAATGTATTCTACAGCCTGCTAATCGATTATATAAAAAATATCTTCCATTATTTATTTTGTTCTCAATCAGACATATTTGCATGTTTGACAGCTGTATAATAATTTCAGCAATTAATTTGTGCTACCTCTAATTCTTCATACAAACATGTACAATATTATTGAAAAAACAAAATTCATTCAAAGCAATATATTACCCGCAAAAACTACACTTTGTAGCTCTCAATAACAGTAAGTACTTGTTTCTTCTTCAAGACTAGAAAAAAAGACAGACAAATATAGAAGTTATTCTGCTAGACAAGAGAAGAAAGAGAAAGAGAGAGACTGTGAGAGAGAGAGAGAGAGAGAGAGAGAGAGAGAGAGAGAGAGAGAGAGAGTCCAGAGAGAGAGAGAGAGAGTCCAGAGAGAGAGAGAGAGAGAGAGAGAGAAAGAGACAATTCTTCTTGTTCTTTTTCTTCTTCAAGATGATCTGCCTCCTTCAATACTGAAGATTCTTGCAGATGCCGTATACTCGGCCTGATTGGGGTGTGCAGGTGGACCACTACAGGGAGGGAGCACTAATTTTGTTGTGGCCAGGTCCAGGCCCTAAATCCGCCTCTGCAATCACACTAGTGTCAAATTGTCTCTGCATGTTCTCTCAATTATACCATTTTAATACACACACAATATAGAGATATGGCCAATCTTTACAAGCAGCATCTTGAGTATGCCCCGAATTTCTGTTCATAATCTATATGAGTTTAGCCTCTTAGCTGCTATGCATCAGCATACACGTCCATCGACCACAACACACATAAAATGTGCCGCCGGTGACCCGTACTCACCTTACACGCGAAGTCATACTCTCCGCCGAACGATCCCGAGCGCACGACTCCGTTACTGTTGTTTGCCGTACTTGCAGCCGACATGGTGCAAGATTTTTTCTTCTCCTCAAATAAAACGATAAAACTCCATGCAACAGGCAATCAACGACGTGGAAATATTCCTTTATGTTCCAGGAAAGATTCCGTTTATAACTCCTGTGACTGATTCCCTGGCTTTTGGAAAAGGAGGCTGAGCTGAGGAAAATCCAAGATTGATTCAACAACTAGACAACCAACGTCTTCAGCTTTGCAGTGATAGAGAAAGAAGCCAAAATAGATATGGAAACCACATCAGCTGTCAACCCGTCGTGTTTACACAGTCGCTGCGCCCGTTCAAAAACAAGCCCAAATGAGCAAGGAAAATCGCACTATTCAAGGGAAAAGAAAGCCAAACAAAATGTGTTGGCGCCCTCTGTGAGAATATACACCACAATGTAATCAAAGCTCCCGGAGTCTTTGACGCACTGCGTCTCTTTTATGCCGATGCTGTGATTTCCGAGTGACGGAGTGCCGATAACAGAAAATGGGCTACCGGTAAGCATCACTTTCAAAGTTTTCTTCCCTCTCTGAACCATATAATCAAATCTTCTCCGGTGGGCCTAAATAAAGGGCATTTATTACTTTTAAACAAAAAACCTCTTTAGTTGACAACAACAGCAGCGTCGTCGTCGTCACCATCACCATCTCCAAAGGGAGAGTGATGATAATTTACAGTGATCATTGAAATAAAAGAGAAAATTATGTAAATAATAATATTGACAACTATGATGATGATAATGTTGATTATAATGATGTTCTTCACATCTACAGCAACACTACATATTAGGCAAAAATTAGTAACCATATGGTAATATCATTGTTGGTAATGATTATGACAGAACTGAATATGAATATTATGTTAATGACGATAAAACATAAACAAACGCGTAAAACTGGGTCAAGGTTGACAAAGTTGAATATATCCGGCTTCTATTATGACGTCAGGATGCTTTACGTGCGCATTGTTTACATTTTGCAATTGTGACGTAGATAATTAACGCGCATCAGTTGAGGGCTTGATACGCGCGACTTAGCGCACTCAAAAGCCACGCGCTCAATGTTTACATGGTGATTATCATGATGTCACGTACAACAAAGTACGTTGTGATAAAAGTTTATCATGTGGCGGGAAATAAAAAGCAATTGCATGAACGCTTTTTGGATAATATTTTTGGACAAAATGTTTAATTGAGCAAGCAATATCAGCAGACTGAATGCAATGCGTCAACCTTGGTGCTGAATGGTGAGTTGACAATACGATACCCTTCCGGTGAAGTTCCCTGGTGGACATGGATGCTTTGGGGCTTGCAGGGGAAGGGCGACCGAGAGACTAAATTTCAAATGCCCACTTATGTATTTTCCCCACCTTTCATTTTTTACTGTAGTCTACTCCTGTAATACACACTGTAAACTAATAGTATCGTAGAGAACTAGATAGTTTATTCCTCAGCACTGCATTCTGACTTATGGATCCTGCTGAGTATCGTCGTAGAAGTAGAAGTAGAAGAAAGAAGTTAACGGGGTTCGTTTTGAAATAGATCAGTCAGAGATTAGAATGAGACGGAGAGAGAGAAAGAGAGAAAGAAACATATTTATGATATGGCGTGTAAACTTCTTCAAATTACCGTTTTAAATAAAATGTCCGGATACACAACCAGTCCGGACACACAATTTGTCCGGACACACAACGTTTTGGTATAGACTCAACCACAAATTCTGAATGTTTTAATGACTAGTCTATATCTAAATTAAATACCCATGTTTGCAAAGAAACAAAGTTTATATTTATAAGCATTTTATTTTTAACATTTGTTATCGCCAGATCCTGAATTCGGGATGACAGCTTTACTTTTCTCCACTCTCTTCTTGGTCATCACTTTGTTTCAGACATCTTCAGGTAGGTCTAGGTCCAAATTATTATTAGGTAATGAACTGCTGAAAAGAACTTTTTAAGAGGATAGCTAGACATCTACTAAATTGTAATCAATATTTTTGAAAGACTATAACCACGATTTTTTTTTGTAGTCTAAAAGCATCATTAACTGAACGAGACTTTCTTGTATATCAATCATCTTTAGATCCCTAATCCTGGTTAAAAACAATTTTTTACATTTTTTATAATCAACTTTTAACGTAGAATATATCACATCTTGAAGGAAATCCATACCTTCTGATGTTATATAATGTTAATCACTGCATTGCTTTTAATCATGTCCCATATCCCCCTATGCAAGGTCGTCTTATTCCAATGTATAAACGTATAACAAACTTTGAAGGCATTGTCAGACCCATCCAGCTACAGAGTGATAACAGTCACATCTATTTTATAACAAGTAATTGATCTGACTCTCAAACCACGCATTGAGTAACCCCCTGGATAATAAAGATATGCCAGACTGCTTACAATTTGGACTCCAGGAAGGCAAGTGTTGTATACCGACCTCCATATCTCTGTAACTAATCATCCCGCACATAATATGTAAAATAATGTATAGTGCACTTCTGGATGCCCAAAATGCTTTTTAACACAGTTTTACACGAGGGTCTCCTTTCCAAACTCCACGCTGCAAGACTTCACTCTGCCACCACTAGCCTCATCAAAGAGGGACATGAGAAACTTTCTTCACTGCATCTTTACTAATTTTCTACATAAGATCCACTCTTCTCGTGTCTCTCTTTATTTATGCTCTGCTTGATATTAAAACTCAACTCTGTCGCTACATGTGATGTACTTTCGGCAATTCTCTATCCAACGGTTTTTTCGGATTCATATAAGAAAAAGATCACCCTATCTAAAAGTTCCTTACTAACAGTTGGGCGAGGAATGTTAAACTCCCAAGCATCTGCGATTTCCTCTCTTCTTCTTTTTCTTCATCTTCTTCTTCTTCATCTTCTGGTAATAATACCATAAAAAGCGGAAGTCTTGCAAGTCATGCAAGTTTAACATTCCTCGCCCAACTGTTAGTAAGGAACTTTTAGATAGGGTGATCTTTTTCTTATATGAATCCGAAAAAACCGTCGGGTAGAGAATTGCCGAAAGTAAGACAAACTTTGGGCAGTTAAGGCCAAAAACTGAGGGTTTATTTTTTACACAAAAAAGTGATAGCGATTTGGCGAAACGTTATTCAAATTCGGCTTTAGATTTCCAAAAAGCTGGTATTAATAAAACATGCAATTACTCTCATGTTCGCAGAAAAAAACAATTATCCAGTGTTTTTTTGCAGTTTATGCTTAGCATTAAAATCAATGCTCAAACAAAACTGAAACTAAATTTCGTTTTTTTTTCCTTCCCATTGTACCATTGGTGATACCTAGGAACTGAAGTCGCTGATACGCCTCTTTTAAAAGATGCGGATGGGCCACGAATGGAAAACGCTCTTTTGATGCTAAAGTCTACAGAAAGGGAACGTTTTGGAGCCGAGTGCATGACTCCTGAAAAATTTTGTTCCAGAGAAGAGGTAGCAGATTTTATTTGGCACACTGAACACGTGAAAAGTATCGGCGAGGTAAGCGAAAGAAATGTGTCGAGTGGGAGGGAAAGGGTAAGAAGAGATCAAGAAGGTAGTGAGAGAAATGAGAAAAGAGTGGAGGTGTAGAATTAATTGGGGCACAACAAGCAACAAAGAAACGCCCCATTCTCTCCTGTTAAATAAACAAAACCCAAAACAGAACAATAAAACACCAGGTTCCCGTCTAAAAAACTGATCCAAATCTATTGCAAGCCTGCTACTTCATTTCAAGTTTGCAGTCCCTTTTCTCTTATATTCATAGTTGCGATTGATATCAATCGTAAATAAATTAAGACTTTATCACCTCTTTTTATGACTGGGCCCAGACATATAAAATAAAGTAACGTTTTAAAGATGTTATTTTTAAACACCTTGGCCGCGTGAATTATAAGAATTAGAATCAGACCTGGAATTGCTTGTTAATGGTGGAATCCGGTTCTATTTGTTTTTACTTCTCATTCTATTATTTTTCAGAGTTGGTTCTGGCATACATACGTGTGCTTAAGGCAAGAAGATGCTCAGCTCTGCCCAGGTAAATAGCTCTTTAGTGGGGATACCACAATTTTCCATATTGAATAATGCATTTTGGAATATTTTTTAGATTATGCACTCCCCAAATTTAAAAAAAAAAATATATAAAAATCTAATGCGCGTTGCAGGGAATAAACATTTCCATTGTAATGTTTTTTTAATGAATATCAATGACCAAATTACGTACATGTTAACAATCTGTATAAAAACGAAACAGTGTAGTAACCCTGAAATAATAGCACAAATTCAGTTTAAGAACTCCTGGAATTATTTTCTTTGCTCTTTGTAGGTTTTTATAATGAGAACCTGGGTGCAATGGGCTTACAACACGAATTTGGGAATTTAAAGTTACAGTGTAATATGAAAATTTCAAGTCGATGCTAGAGAACGTATCTAGACTGCAGAGTGGCGTATCCACAAATCGGCAAAAAGAGAATGGAAAAGGGGGGGGGGGGGGGGGTGGTATGCCAGCAGCACATCTTAATCTGCAACAATATATAATGGCCACTTTCTTCCTAGTCGATGGTGGCTGGGCGAACTGGGGATCATGGGGCAACTGCTCTGCTAGCTGTGGGAGGGGTACAGAGTCCCGTCATCGACAATGCACCCACCCCACCCCAGATAACGGAGGGAGGGTGTGCAGTGGGTCGGCATCACAGTTGTCTGACTGTGAGACTCACATACCATGTCTGCGTCAACGTGAGTTCTGTTTTCAGTTTCCTTCAAATAAATGAAAAATACGATACGAAGCAATGATTTTAAATAGATATCACTCTGAACTTGCATGACAAAGGACTTTGTTATGCACTTCTTTGTATTTGTTCCTTTAGAATCTACAAGCAATAATTTTTTTTTTCTTTTTCATCTCATATTTAGAATATGATACAAAATCATTGATTATTACTTCGATGAAAAGTGCTTGACAAATAAATTTTTAATTTGTATCGTTTGGGTCTGTTTCTTTGAATCTTTAAGCAATGTATAACAAATTCTAATGTTTGAATTCAGTTGATGGGAAAATTGCTGACTTTTATATGGTTATGATCATTGATTGTTTAATACCCGTTGTAAACGAGATGTCTGTTTTCTGACGTAGCACTGCACCAGCAACTTGCACAGTCTTAGACGCTACAGCATGAAAAGTGCATGCAAATATTGCTTCGTTTTTACTGGTGTATATGCCAATTGCTTTTACAGGCCTAATTAGAGGCGGTATCAACACAATCGAAACGAGGCATCATGTGCACTGCAACGGGCATAAATCCCCTTGACAACAAACAGAAGTTATATTCGATATTGGGAACAAAATTGAGAAGAATGTGAAGGCACCTTCGTTTTTTAAAACCATGAAGACTGTTCATTCCGGTGCTTTGTGAGGCAATCTTAGTACTTCATAATAATGTACAACTTCTATTTTATCCAAAGATCAATCATCCGGGAACGTAACAGAGACGCTTCTGACCGACATGTTGACCTACCTTCGTCCATTTCACCTAGAAGATCTTCATCTAGAGAGGGTGTGCTTGAAAGGCCACTGCAGCTATCAGGATGTTCTTGGCATGATACAACCCGTCGAGCTTGCGGTATGAATTGTAGAGACTTTCAATAACAAAATCGCGTGATCATTTGGGCTTTTGATGAATCGGTATTCACCAGAGAAAATATAGGGGGATGGATGACTACCCATTGGTCAAATAAAAATACCAGAACTACCACCACCACTATCAGAACCACCACCACCACCACCACCACCACCACCACCACCACCACCACCACCACCGCCACCACCACAACCACCACAATAGCAACAACGATATCAAATTCTTCACAACAGCAGCAGCGTCCTCCATCGTCAAACGCATAAATGATTTCATGCGATTTCTTTAATTTCTTCTTCTTCTTCTTCTTCTTCTTCTTCTTCTTCTTCTTCTTCTTCTTCTTCTTCTTCTTCTTCTTCCTCTTCTTCTTCTTCTCCTTCTTCTTCTTCTTCTTCTTCTTCTTCTTCTTCTTCTTTTTCTTCTTCTTCTCCTCTCCTTATTCTTCTTCTCCTTTCCTTCTTCTCCTCCTCCTCCTCTTTCTTGTGCTTATGTATAACAAATGATATAAAGAATTTTTTTAATAAAAGAGGCTATAATACATATTGCTTTGTATTTAAAGGGAAATTTCAATTTGTACTTTGGTAGGGGAGACAAATGAACTATTTAATTGAAAGGAACATTTCGAGTGAAGGGATATTACTTTGAATGAAATGGGGAGGGGTAGAACTAACTTTACCGACAGGATAATTATATTTCACATACTAGGATGATTGCAAACTATCACTTCCTCGGCGATCTGAGTGAGCATTTTTTTTTTGGCCCTCGGAAATTTAAAAATTTGCACCCCCCTTGGGCGCCAGGGGGGGGGCATCCCTTTTTTCCCAGGGGGGGGGGGGGGGCGGACTCCGGGCCCCCCTGGATCCGCCACTGATACGTACAACAGTCACCAGATTTATTCGATGTCTAAAATGAGTGCTTGGTGTTGTGTTTTCTCTCTCTCTCATTTTATCACAACAGAATCGTTATTGGTCACGTCTGAATTGTTATAAGTTCTTCGAGGGATGCCCAGGTATGTTCTCTAGCGAATAGTTAAGGACTATAATTTCTAATTTAACAGGCTGTGGAAGGGTAACCTGATAGCAACTATTAATCTGCAGTCTCTTATCTCTAATGCACATAGTTGCGACTGATATCAATCGCAATTTGTTTTTCTCGATTAATATCATTATTGTTTATAAGACGGGGCCCAGAGATCATAAACTACGCATACGTCACTCTCTTTGATATAATCTGAGAGTTGCCCGCTATGTCCCCGGCCAAGTATCAAAAGCAAATTTTAAGTTTAGAAAATGCAACATGTTGAGAGCTATTCCAAACGGTGATTTAAGCCTAAATTACATGGATGGCGAAGATATAGGCTGGTATTCTGAAGTCTTGTCTAACTTAGTCATGACTGAAGTTGAACAACTGTTTAGCTATAGACACGACTTAGGCACGATTTCAGAATACCGGCCATAGATTGTAGCCTTGAAATCACATCTCTGGATAAAATGGTTATTCGTGCCTATTCGAGATTTCCGACCGTATTTTCGAAGCCAAATGACAAATTATTGATATCTGACTATATCCAAAAGTTGAGCGTTTCGGATCACTGTTAAATCTATAGCTAAATTATATAATGCTTACGACATTTTTTTGTTTAATAGTCAGGGGGTCTACGTTTTTAAGCTACATGTGTAAGCTTATCAGTAGACCCCTCCAAAAAATTATCCGTTACTTTCTTGTTCTAGATCTCAGTTTTTTTCATTACGCTCCGTTATTTTTGTTTTCTCAAATCAAGGAAAATCTTTGTTATAAACTTGAATGATTTGTGGAATATGAATAAATACTCCCATTATTCCCATTATAGATCACCGTGACCTGGGCAATAGTACTAACCGTGCTCCTCAGAGCAGTCAATATTTGTATATTATTCAAATTCTTTTTCTTTGTAATTTTCAAGTGGCCGGTGGTTGGTCAGCATGGGGTGAATGGAGTCCATGTACATCACGGTGCGGAACAGGGCAATCCTTCCGCAGCCGACACTGTAACAATCCGCATCCTAGAAACGGAGGTCAGTTGTGTCTCGGACCGCCAGTAGAAGAGAACGACTGTTTCGATGATACCTGTGCCGATGCTAGTACGTTCAACTTTATCGTTTCAGAAATAAGTAATAATAGTCGTAGTAGAAGTAGTAGTGGTAGTAGTAGTAGTATAGTAGTAGCAGCAGTAGTAATAGTAATAGTAGTAGTAGTAGTAGTAGTAGTAGTAGTAGTAGTAGTAGTAGTAGTAGTAGTAGTAGTAGAAGTAGTAATAATAGTGTCCTACTACTACTACTACTGCTGATAATAATGATTATAATAATGAATAACTCTTGGACAATAGAATATTAACAGTACATAAAATAACACTCGGGTTAAATATGATCGACCCGAATGTTTGGTAAAAACCCTCTTGAACGTTTAAAAAAACTAGGCTCTGAGTTTGTTCATACATTCGCCATCAGAATGCTAATGGTTACTTAGCCTTTGTTCCTGAGAACAACCTTATATTCGATAACGATGATGGCATGGATAACCAAATGATGTATTTTCCTTTTCGAAGTCGGTACTTTCCTAACGCCGTGGTCGCCCTGGACATCATGCTCTGAGGGATGTGATCAAGGAACCAAAGTATCCACCAGACGCTGCCATGGCAGCGATACATGTACTGTGGGGGTGGAAGATAGAGAGCGAGATGTGCGCACTCTGACGAGGCGGGCGCCTTGTATGACGAGACAGTGTCCAAGTTAGTGCATGGTTTTAAATCTTTATATATTTACGTCACCAAATACCTGGTCCTTCGTTGTCAAACACCCTTCGCATTTCCCACAGACTACAAGCCTTGGGATACCCGCCTTCACAACTAGCGTAGGTAGTAAGAGGTAACACTTGACTCCTCGAAGGCCTACCATATTCCTGACGTGATACAGAAAGACGCTTGACCCCCCCCCCCCCCAAGAAGAAAAACGAGAGATAACACTTTATTTTTGCTACGATCATTGTGATAACAAATTTTCCGCGATGAAGAAACTACCCAGAAGAATCCAGCGATTCAGGTTTATAATGAACTGACGAAGTATATGTTTGCTTATGTTGTCATTTGTAGGGACCAAAAATACTTATATCGCTGTAAGCTATAAGCTTAGGAACAAATTTTGGCTTGTACCGCTCTCTTTGTGATCTATCATTACCCATTTTATATTGTCAAGATGGCCTTCAAAGTGTTATGATATTAATTCAAATATAAATGACATTGATCTTCACAGTACTCGGTGGATGGAGTCGTTGGGGTGAATGGAACATGTGCAGTACGGTCTGTGGGTCTGGATATCACATCAGAGTGCGTACATGTAGTAAGCCTCTACCCATCGGTGAAGAGAACGAGTGTCCTGGAGATAGGTACGAAAAACAGGGGTGCGTGCACGAATCGGACGAATGTGATCGGGCACCGGCAGATCGAGGTAACTATGCAAACTATCAATCAAGATATTGATAACTAATTTAAGAAAAAATGTATCCATTCAAATAATTCTTGTTCCATTTTTTTTTGTCGAATGGAAAAACCAAAGTTACAATTTGGAATCGACATATGCGTATGATACATGTTAATGATGCAATTAATGGTACACAGTAGCTTTATAATCCTCTCAGTATTGCGTTTGCAATCATATGACTGTTTGTTCAAAGTGATTGATATTCATATATAGGAATAGAATTGTATTTTTGAGCCTTGCATATGCCCTTTTTGTTTGATTTTGCTATCTTATCTAGATGTTAAAACATCACAGGACTATGCAGGACATAATGTTTAAAAAAAGAAGGAAATGTTAAGTTTATATTTTTATTTGAATGAATAGAAGAACAGTGATATTAGATCTCATATTTTCTCTTGAAAACAAACAAACAAAATGTTGTACCTGTCTTCTTTAGATCACACTAAAATCTTGATCGTGGAAAGAGATTTTGATATGCTTTGTTTCAGAAAATGGGATACTCCTTTAAAAGATATACGCTTATTTTTAATTCCCATCCCTTTTATCAACTGTTTATTATTACCACTCATCTTGATTCGACAGAATACGGTTTGTGGAGTACATGGTCTCATTGTAGCTCGTCGTGTGGGGGCGGTGTTAAGATGAGGCATCGATCATGCATGGATCATCAGACTCTGGAATGTACCGGACCTGTCTATAATACCTGGCCCTGCAACGTCAAACTGCCTTGTCCAGGTAAGATCTAATAGGGAGTCGAACCATTCAAGCGAATAATCTCTATACGATGATTGGGTAAGGGGAGGGGGAAAAGAGGGGGAGGGGGAGGGGTTAAGAGTTGTCTTATTTAAATGTGTCAACAGACGGTGCCATAGAGTAATAATAATATTTAATTTTTATATAGCGCTTAATACAAATGTCTCTAAGCGCTTTACAAATATACTATATATAGAGCACAGTTTTCGCCCATTAATCCGCCAGACATGCTCAAACAAATGCGGAGTTGGGGAGGGGGAAGGAGGGGGGGGGGGGAGGGGCGTCTAAGATTTTAACATTTGCCAAACAGAGAAAGAAAAAGAATGAAACAAATGCGGTCTTCTTATTTCAAAATCTGACCATAATCGTCATCTTCCAGGGGGTTTAAGGGGGTGGGTTTGTTTCAAGAGTCAACTTCTACTCGCTTTGTTTGCTTGACAGTGGACGGTGATTGGTCAGAGTGGTCATCATGGACCTCGTGTTCGGAAACGTGTGGTATTGGTCAGACGATGATGTACAGGATGTGCACGAACCCGGTCCCGAGGCATGGCGGGAAGGACTGTGAGGGAGACAGTCAGCAAGCCAAGAAATGCTCATTTGGCAAGTGTCCACGTAAGTTATCTGTTTATGCCTGTTCTCTAACTAATCTTTTGCCATTTTTAAAACAATAAATACTGATTAATAATTATTTTAGTATTTCTATTTTAATTATTGTGCTATATAAACGTGTGGAAGGTTTATTGATTTCCTGCTTCATTATGTATCAAAACACCGATAACCACCGACCTCATTTCTTTCCGATTCCAGCATTGATGCCACAATGGGGTTCTTGGGGAGCGTGGGATGAGTGTTCCGAGACTTGTGAAGGTGGGACCAAGTCTCGACAACGATGGTGCTTGGTCCGTAAACCATCATTACAACGTATGGTTCGGGTGAAGATGACTAGTAAATGCGCGGGAGAATTCCAGCAGTTTTCCGTCTGCGCTACGCAAACATGCCCAGGTGAGTTGCACATTGTACCTTAATACTTTTAATGCTGGATCCGTGATTCTTTGCTCCAAAGAGGGAAGGGGTGGGTGGGGGGGGGGGGGGGGCTGTTGTGGGCACATATTTAAAAAGTGGGAAAATAATCAAATTTGACCGGGAGTGGTACAGGAAAAGGGGGCAATGTGGACAAAGGTACAGGGGATATCTTTAATGCTGGTATATGCTCGGAGACATGCCCTTCTCATGTGCACTCTGCAAAGGTGTCGATGTATCCGTGGTTGTGGGGATGAAAGGTGCCAAAATATTTTCGGCAATGGATCAAAGCAATCAAGAGGTAGAAGCGTGTGGCAGGTTGCACCCCTCCCTTACAAGATATTAACTTTTTCAAGTCACCCTCAATAAAGATAACATTTCAGAGAATATGGAACCCATGTAGGACCCACATGGCTTGCAACTTGGGTATTATCCTCTCTAGCGCGTAGCAAGAATTTTATTTTAGAGGGGCGGTAGTGAGCACGCGAATCACTTACAAAGCGCGCGAAGCGCGCTCCCTAGGGGGTGGATGCAGGGAGGGAGGGGGGGGGGGTTTCCGTCCCGCACGAAGCGCGGAAGCTTTGATGTTTCATTAAATTATTAGAGAAAGAAGACGATGTGTTGTACCATTCTCGACTCTTAATCCTTGTCTGAATTCAGTTCCTCCCCCCCCCCTCCCTCATTACATTATTTATAGAGAAAGACGAAGATTCGTTGTACTGTTCTCGACTCTTAATTATTGTCCAAATTCAGTTTCTTTAGAAGTTTGATTAAAATATTAAAGAAAGAAGACGATTCGTTGTACTATTCTCGACTCTTAATCCTTGTCTGCATTCAGTTCCCCCCCCTTCCCGTTTCATTACATTATTAGAGAAAGATGACGATTCGTTGTACCGTTCTTGAATCTTAATCTTCTTTCTTCCTACGTCCTCTTCCTTTCTTCTTCTCTCTCTCTCTCTCTCTCTCTCTTTTTTGGCCGGCGTTTTTTTTTTTTTTTTTTTTTTTTTGGGGGGGGGGGGAACCGCCCCCATTGCCCCCTGGCTACCCACCTGTATCCTCTCTGTCTCTCTCTCTCCCACTCTCTTCTTCCTTTTTTGCACTTTTCGCTTCGCCCCTAACATTTAGCTTGTTGCTTTTTAACGCTGCGGCTTAGCACTTGGCGCACTGCATTTCTATGATGCTGTTGATTGAATAAATTGAATAAATTCATCATTTCCTGATGAAGCCGTATGAGCGAATTAAATATATTCTTGTCTCATATACGGTTGTCTAATTTACGTATGTATTATGAAAATGAGATATCAACATGTGTATATTGATGGTCATCTTGCAAGTAATAACCATTAACTACTCCCATCTGGCTCTCATCATTAATTTTTCTCCTCATTTTTATTTTTGTTGTTGTGGAATTATAGGGGGGGGGGATGATTGTACAGGCCATCCCCCCACCTGAAATATTGGGGGGGGGGGATAGATCCCCCACCCCCCCCCCCCCCCCGGGATCGACACCCATGGCACTCTGGATCCGTCACTGTCTACATACATGAAGATAAACTATTGAATTGCGTAAATCGATCGGCAACCGATAGTAACAGCCTTAAGACCAATACTAGATACGAACAGTGAACACAATTGTTTATCACAAAAATATAATTAGGAAACAAGTTTTGAAATTGGGCTTCCTACTTCATCTATATTCGATATATTCATAAATCGTTCCTTTCTCATGTTATTCAGCTAAGGTAAAAGTAGAATATTCCATTCGAGAAGACGACAAATATGTATCAAAGCAAGAAAAACGAAAACCAATTAGAATTTTTTCTGTAATGATTAGGGGTTTGCCACAGGGTGTAACATATTTTCTTTCGTCCAACCCCATAGTGCTGCTATCTACATTTTGAACTTCATTGAACTCTATTCATGACAAAGCAAAGCAATACAGATCATGTAGACTTACATTAGACTTAAAGAAGAAAAGAGTTTTTTTTAATAATAATCTTGGTTGGTTTTTTTGTTTGTTTTACCTGAATGCTAAGAAAGCAGGTGCTTGTAAGTAAGCAAGCAGAGGACCGACGGCTTAAAGGCGTCTCCGATGGACTTGGAAATGAGGACTAATGCCTTACCAAAGGGCACTAGCGCATCGACTTGGTTTTGAATGCGCGACCTATCGGTTACGAGACCACTGCCTTACCACTGAGCTACCACGCCTCCGTTTTCTCTTTCCCCATGCCGTGCTTGGAACCCTATTTTTTCCCCACAAATACGTGCGTGATGTCCAGCAAAGAGGCCTCGTGACGAATTGCCTAACATTTTGGCGAATGGTCCTATGAATAGTTTTGATATATCGTTTTCGAAATGTCGTGTACAAGCATGTGATTGAATTATTTCCTTTGAATATTTATAAACAGTTGACGGTTCATGGGCCAACTGGGGAGCATGGATGACCTGTTCATCGACCTGCGGGGAAGGTGTAATGAGACGAGACCGTAGTTGTTCCGATCCCGCCCCTCTAGGCAAGGGAGAGGTCTGCGGTGGATATGGCACAGAGACGAGACACTGCTTCCAAAAACCATGTGCAAGTAATACCCCAGATCATTTTCACATCCTCTTGGCCTTTCTTTGAACAATAACAATGTACTGCAGCCTTCAATAAACATGCAATACACATACAAAAACGAATGTAATTACACAACATCGCTTTCGTATTATAGGCGTTTATAATTAAGGGGAGGGAGGTTATCACATCCCAATCAAAATTTCTGTCAGCAAATGCGGTATATTAGAAGCGTTATCGGCAAATCGCAAAAGGAGAATGCTTTTGCATTACTGCCTTTGGAAAATTTCGGGCATACTTGCTAAATATGGTCCGACACCCCGACCCATCATACCCATTAAAAATATAAATAGCGCCACCCATGCGGTGTCTGATATTTCACTATGTATTTTAGCATGCCAAAATAACGCACAACCATAATCCAACAAGATTGAAATAAACGCATGACGAAAACAACATCTACATGTACGTAGGAACTCATTCTTTAAAATTTAATATAATTTCAGCTTTCAGACGACTGTTTTACAATGTTGTTGCATAATTTTTCTATTTCAGATCGCAATAGATCCAAAAAAAAAACATTGAACTGTTTTCATTCTGAAAACGAAATTTATGCAAGTATGCGATTTTCATACATTGAAGTAAAATTAAATAATATCAAACATAATGAATTGTCTTCCGTCTTTCCTTTCTTTATGATTAACAGAACGAGGCACAATCCTACTTCGCTTCGACGGATCTTCGTTCTTGATCTACCGTCGCTCGGCCCATCCCGCCCGTCATCTTCTCATCTTCCTCTCCTTCCTCCCCTCCGACCCTCACGGCCTGCTCGTCCTCCGTCGCGAAGAGGAATGGACCCAGGTCGTCATGATGGTGCGCCTGGTCGATGCCCATGTAGAGCTCTATGCCGAGATCGGACCCGAGATTGTGATCCAGTTCGAAGGCGAACATGTTAAAGTAAGTTACTTCTTTCTTTTGGAACGGAAGTTGGGTGATAGGATGGTGTTGTGTCACTTAAGTCTTTCATGTATTATTTTCATGAAAACTGCAATGGATTACTAAAAGAAGCTATTGTGAATGAAAGAGTTAAGCTGATGGGTGAATCATTTTGTCACAGCGTCTTTTTAAATCGTTATAGCTTTATCCATGGCCTTTAATTTGCATAATATTAACAATGCTTTCTACTTTATTTCTTTAACTGCACAGCTTGATAAGTGGAATACATTAGAAATTGGGTTCGACGGAAGGGAGGCGTGGCTTCGTGTGAATGATGGTGACGTCGCAGTGTACGAGGTGAAAGAGCCAATCCCAGACAACTTGGACTGGGATCTGCCTATGTATGTGGGCGGGGCATTGCCGAATCTTTTTCCTGGGCACTTCGATACCATAGGCGGTGAGGAGGCTTTCCGTCTATTTTATTATCACTGTTCGTTTCGCTTTTATACATAACTTTTTTTTACAAGTAATTTGCAGATTATTTTCAGTAGTAAACGATTTTAAATCAAGTGGATTGTATTGTACGTTTCATTGATCCGTCTGAGACGTCATGTTCATCATCGTCACAATAAATTTAAAGTCACAATAAATTTAGAGTCCCATAACATGCAAACTGATCGCTGAGTGTATGATTTAGAAACTGTTATTACTGTCACGTTCTAGCGGCATATACAGAATTCTCGATAAACAGAGTTTTTCTTTTCATATCGCCGTGCATATTTCAGTTTGAATCTAATGTTTCTCGCTTCATCCAAAGGTTTTACGGGTAAAATCGCGAAGCTGCGAGTGAACTATCGAGAATACAGTCTTCACGAGACAGATGAATGGGAAGGTGGTGGACTGCCTTACGTCAGTCTAAACGTAGAGGAAGATGAAGTGCCAGGTATGGATCTCTGGGCCCCATTTCACAAAACTTGTCATCTGTGACAAATTACAGTTTTTAGCTACTGAAATCCTTGCTTCTGGTTGGTTATCAGCAGATTTTTCACTGATTTTTGTCATTGTCATAGAAAAAAGGTCTTGTGAAATTGGCCCCTGTTCTTTCAATCCACTACATTGCCTGGTTGAATTTGTGAACATTTTAAACTATCATTGCCTTGGGAATACACAATATGCAACGTGTGGTCACTCATTTGATTAGAGAGAGAATGAGTAGGAGAAGTCAAGGAGAAGAAGGCTTAATTCGTAATGTGTAGGTAGATGGCCACTGACACGGTTTTATACCAAAGGTGTCGGTTTATATTGATGAACTAATAAGTTATTGCGTTGAACTATAGGACGGTTTGTGGCGGTAATTTCGTAAATTGAAGTCCAATAACTATGAAAACTTTCGAATTGTACTTTCGTTGTCCGGCCATGCAAAAATTACACCCGTCTACAGGGGACATTACAAATATAAATGAGGAAAGTAACTCATAACTTATATTCCTTGACAAAATGTATAGGTTTGGCATTATTCGTTGAATTGATCCACTTCTCATTAAATTCAAAATACACCTACCAAAGAACTTTCCTTCTATCTCATCATCAGACATCGACTGCGATGTTCCAACTTTCACCGGGGAGGAATATGCGCTCCTCCCGATCCCTCCTTCACTGAATACCAGCGATACAACGAACCATTTACTGATCAGTATGACTGTTCGTGCTAGTGACGGAGAGGGCATCCTGCTGTATGTCGAAGGGAAGTTCCCCGGTTCTTTCTTTGCCCTCGGTCTCGAGGAGGACAGCCTCGTGATCACGCTGAGTCTAGGACACGATCAGGAGGTCGTTCAGCGGCTCACCGATCCAATCGAGGTCAGTGACTATACTAAGAGTTCCAAGAGATATAAATCTTTTTCTTTGTGTTATTGAACGACCCTCAATCGGTCGGTTTGGAAATGGCGCGAAGTCGGTTTGGCGGTGCAAGAGAGCCTCTGAGGTAATAAAGACTGAAAATTATATGTTCTACTTTGCAATATCAGGAGCACTTTTTTAATATAATATTTCATTCAAATGCAGTTACATTATAGGTATTCGTCCTAAAATTGAAAAAAAAAATGCGAAGAAAGCGTAATTGAATAGCATTTTGATTTCTCTTTGTATTTTGTTATTAAATTAGACCTTGTGCATGTTGATATCTTGCCATTAGATCTATCAGTTATCAGTATCGAAGAATTTGGAATCAACATGATAAATCTTAGTGAATTGTTTAATCAAGGAATCCAAACCGATAATTGCATTTTTATCTGTTTTTAACAGTTCGGGAAGTGGTCCCTTCTCGACGTCAAAGTAACGGACTCCAGCGCCGAACTACGCATCGGCAAAGGTCCCGCGACCCAGCTGACCTCCATTGGCCACGTCTCCTTCCGACCCAGCTCCGACCTTTACGTAGGTGGAGTCCGTCAATTGGACCGTCTGCAGGTGGAAATGAGCACGGGAGCCTGGCGCGGGTTCCGTGGCGAGATCCTGGAGGTGACAGTCAATTGGGTGGATTTTAAGATGTACGAGACCGCCCTCTCTACCGATGTGTTGGTCAACTCGGCGTCGGCTACCGGGGCAGGTATGCTGAAGTTCTTAAGGATAATTATCCTTTCTTCCTTCGAGTAACGATACCTTGGGCATCGATATTTCATAAATATTCCAATCATTAAGTTTTTCTCCGTTTTGTTCTCTCTTGTTTAAGGCAACTTTTTACTATCTCAAATAATTTTGATTTTTGTTTTCTTCTCTAGCGCATTTTCGTGACATTTATGCACCCGAAGAAGCTTCGCTTCTTTTAAGATGTCAGTTCGGCCATCTGTTGGATCAAGTCGAAGACGCCTACCGATGGACCCATGCGACCTGGCTCTACAACGGGGACAGGCTCCTCGAGTTCACCCCACATCGCAAGATAGTCCCAAGTGTGAGTCTGGACCCCGGGTTTGGACCTTGTTGTACAGAACTGGCTAACGATAAATTTAAATAACTGATAGAAGCTGAGAACAAATTTGCTTAGAATAGTGTGGCACTTGTTATTGAAAACATGTTTTGTTGAAAGATAGTCCGGAGTGATAAATCAGGACCCTGTTTCATAGAAATTTTTATCAATGACCATTTACAGTTCATCCCGGTACAGGTACTGGTTTTTACAGGGGGGGGGGGGGGTCATATGTTTAAATAGGTAAATGGATATCAAGAGAACAAGGGGATAACAACCCCAATCAAACTGTCCGCAAAATTAGTGATTATTGAAGGCTTGTAGGCAAATCACCCATGTAGTACCTCGACCTCTCTTTTCTTTTTGGGCATTGTCTACTCTTTGTATGATGACCATGTTCTTCTACCTTTGTCAGTGAAAGTACTATTTTGTTTTGGGTTTTATTCTGGCCATAGGATCCTGCGCATCCCTACAGTGTCTCTCTCTTGCTGAGCTCAATATCCAAGAGTACAGAAGGCTTCTACGCATGTCAGGTGCACTTTCGAGGCTTGAGTGTCATTACGCATGCGTTCTCCGTGACTGTCAATGTAACATTAGGTGAGAATACACACATAAAACTTTTGCATGATGATCGATAAGTATTTCAGCAAACCAAATGAAGAGCAGTCTCCGAAACCCTATCTATAGCTTTTAGAAATCATGTTCGGATTATAAAGTAATTTATTGTCATTCTAGCACATCTGAAAAGGTGCTAGACAACACTTTTGAAATTGCCGGATATTTATATTTGTAATAACATACATGAAGTGAGCTATACAGGGTACACGAGCATTTGTCTACATCGATAACCCAATTCTTGTAATGGCCAAAATTAAACTGATTGAATCTTTGCACAGCACAAAACGTACGACCATTCGGTAAAAGGGTCTAAAAATCAAACTATTACTTTAGTGATTGCAATCACTAAAGTCGATTCGACAACTAATGGTCTTTATTCTCCCACTTTAAGACATTTCAAGCCCTTTCGTGTCAAGGGAATTTATAAATAAGTATTTTCTTTCAAATGCCGTTGGGATTTTACCTTATCGTTTTTTTTGGCCTGCAACGTTAATGGCATTTTGACCAGCATGTCTCCTGTCATTTCTTTGTACAGACGGTGGACTTGCAATCGACAAAGCGATGGACATCATCATCGTCGCAGGCGTTGGGTCAATTATGGTGGTCATGCTCCTGGTCGTTCTCATGTCCTTCTGTGCACCATGTCGAAGATGGTACAGTCCTTTTTATATTTCCTCCCACTTTTTTTTGATCACTTCCCCCACCAAACAAGAAACTGTTTACTTAATTTCCCTTTTATCGTCATTCTTTTCATTCAGATAGCACCCTCAGTGCTATGTCTGTTGCATGTCCCGAATATTGAGTCAACTCTCTAATCTCATTATTGCCAAAATATGGTTGTCAATAAAAAGCAAAATAGCAATTGCTGTTTTCTCTCCAAGCAATAAGATTGATCTTTAGACGTATACTCATAATCTTGATTAATCAGTTAAATTTTCCTGCATATTTCGTAAAGCTTCAATAAGAGATACATTTCAAGATGGCGGAGAAACCAAATGTTATAGTTTTTTTTTTTAGATTGCGGTATTCAACTAAATAATGCTATTTACAAATTTCATAGCGAAAATATTACATTTATTTCTTTTTTGTCAGGTCCTATTTGCTAGATCGCCTCCATGACTCACTGACTTTCTGCTGCGGGTGTGAGCCAGGAGAAGGCTTACCCCCCGGGCTGACGTACCCTCATTTAGCCGAAGTAGATAACTCTTACGGAAAGGACTTTTCTGCTAGAAGAGAGAAGGCGAAATTGGACGCGAAAATGAGGCGGATGAGAAACGAAGAGAGCTTGATGCGGCAGAGGAGTTTGGAAGAGGAGAGTGACGAGGAATGGGAGTCGGTTGATTCTCTTCCAGAGGAGGAAGAGCAATTGTCGCCGACCGTGATGAAGAGAAGGAAGGACGAGGGCCCCTATGCACCCATGAGTGCGAAATCTTCACCTGAACGTGAGAGACGCAGTTTACGAGACGATAGACGACAGACTACAGACCAAAGAGACTCAAGGGCACCTAGAGACAAAAGTTTGAGGGTCAAAGACTCACCAGATCAAAAGAGAACGCCGCCAAATATGAGAACAGACAAATTGAGGGCAGATGAAGTAGAAAGACAAGACTCTTCGCCAATCGACCAAGATGACGTCGGGAGGGTCAGAGGAAATATCGCAGAGGCATTTAGCGAAGAGGAAACAGGAGCGGAGCGCCGTGATATCAGCATAGACGTTACTAAACCCATCCCTGGTCCTCCAGGAAAGCAGTATGCAACATTGGACGATGAACCATGGTTTATGACTTCAGTACATGATAACAGCACAGAGGTTACTGAACCCATCCCTGGTCCTCCAGCAGAGCAATATGCAAATTTGGACGATGAACCATGGTTTATGACCTCAGTACCAGATGGACATCAAGAGCATGAGGCAATTCCCGAGTCTCCTGCTACTGTAGGTCACTATGCTCCTCCGAGTGCCTTTTCACCATTTACACCGCTACAAACGCAAATGTCATCTCCCTCGTTGGAAGTGCAACATCAACAGCCTCCCTCTCCTCCTCCTCCTCCTCCAGCACAACCAATATCCCCACCTCCTCAACCTCCGCCAACGTTTTCGCCGCCGCCTCCACCTTTACATCATACACCTCTGCCACCACCAATCCAAGAAAATAGCCCTTTCCCCTCACCACTACCATTCCTGCAGAACACCCCTCCATCACCACTTACACCACTATCGCAGCAAAATAGCCCTCTTCCTTCACCGCTACCAGTCCTGCAGATCACCCCTCCACCTCCACTTACACCGCCATTAGAGCAAAGTAGCCCTCTACCTCCTGCACAACCACCAATCTTAGACCCAATTATTGTCTCGCGAGAAAGACTTGAAATAAACAGACAGCGTCGTAAAAGCACTGGTGCTCGATTCGGAACAGCACAAAATATTCATGACCAACTGAACTTAAACCAAAACTCAAGACGAGCGGCAAGTTTTCACAGTGGTGACACCGCAACAACATATTTCGCGACCTTAGGTGAAAGCACCAACCGTACAAAGATCGCCACGAAAAAAATGTCCTCACCCGGTGGCGATTTCTTAAAAGTACGAAATAACAAGAAAGACGCCAAGGAAAGAGACAAAATCGACCATACTCTTGGGCTCGTTTCAGAGCTGTTAGATTGTTTGAAGCGACCTGATGATACCACAGAGTTACATGCGAAGAGACGTGGTGGAGAACTAGGTACGGATGACCAAGGGGACGCCTACCTCTGTGAAGATTGTGAACGGGCTATGGAAGAAGGGAACAGTAGCATAAAGACCGCAAGTGCAGAGGATGTGTTGTCAAACGAAGACGGTTTCGAGTCGTGTGCTGATCATTCACCAGAGATTGAACAAAAATCAAAGATTTTCAGCAGTGACTAATCAGGAACGGGACCAGGAATTTTTCCCTCTGAGGTCATCGCTTTGAATTGGTTAAAAACTGCCTGTAAGCTTTATTACAGACAGAGCGGCGTTTCGATAGATTTGATATTTGAGTTTCTGAAGTCATTAACATTTTTTGCTATTTTATATCCCCGATCTGATCTTTACTGCATCAATTAATAATAATAAATGTAATAATAATCTATTTCCATACCGCAAGTTGCATAATGCCTCTAAGCGGTTTAGAAGTAAAGGAAACAGAAATTACATTACAATTACAAATCAATTAAATAGTCTATAAATCAAAGTATCCTACGTTAATCAATACAATATAAAAGTCAAAAAGTCAGAGGGCTATTCAGGAACAAGACTTAAAAGGATTTGTTTTAAGCATTGTTTTAAATGTATTTCAAGAACTAGCATTGCGAATTTGAAGGGGAAGATTGTTTCAAAGAAGTGTACATGTAGCTGCATAAACAAAAGAACATTGACCGTATTGTTTGAAAGAAATAGTGTGAGACCGAGGAAGACACAGGAGTGTATCGAGGGAGGAGTTTAGAAAGATATGAAGGAGCGAAACCATGATAAGTCTTGAAAGTAAGGAGGATAATTTTGTAAGTGATGCTTGATGCATTGCGCTCGTAATGTTTATTCTTCTTAATTTTGGGAGGCGGGCGAAAGTTGACCACCTGACGAAAAGAATCGTCCATGGAGCAAATATTCATATCCATATGCTCAAATGATTGATTGACCCCATTAGAACAAGGCCCCGTCTTATTAAGAGCTGGAATTGATCCAAATCGATCGCGAGTCCTCTAATAAATCAAAAGTTTGCCGTATCATATCTCTCATGTAATATCAATCGCAAATAAGTTGCGATTAATAACAACTCTTAAGACGGGGCCCAGAAATGAACAGTTTTAGTTTCAATCTTTTCTATGATGTAAGACGGAACATTTGTAGTCTTCTCTTTTTCATAATGTACGTCCTGCATGAGAATTTAATTCAGTATGACAAGTGGTTAAGTCACTTAAGTCGCTGAGGAAAAGTCAGCTATAATGTGACTTAATGAAATACCATTGACAATTTGTATTACCAATCTTTATTTTAAACAAAATAGTAGCATGAATATTTTCACCGATTATAATGTTGTTTGATATGGCTAATAAATGTATGTAAATAACGAAAATAACGCCTAATCATGTGCATGACTGTCTCGTGTAAGTATCCACAGAGTTCTTAACAACTTAAGTGGTTCCAAAAAAGGCGGCTGTTTGTTGGCTAACGGTACAAAGGAGTTGGGATTTTATCGTGATACAGCGTATGTCGTAGGAAGGGCGAGTGGGCAATGGATGGTAAAGTGCGCTTGGTGAAGTAAGCGAATGGAGTGAGAACTTGAGGAATACATAATACATAGTTGCGTTGTAGACATATGTGTGAATAGTTGTCTTAACCAGATTTAGTCAAGAACATGTTATATTGTCGTCGAAAGGGGTGCTCCAGAGGTGCGTGGCAAACGTTCTTCATTCAAGCCTGCTATTGGTAAAGATGAGTAATGTGCTATCCTATGGATAGGAGGACCACCAGAAGAAAACAAAATCGCTTCATTGACTGTTGACTAACGGAGACCAACGACCATTTTAAAAGTCCGGTGCTGGTGTTGTCGAAAACTTTTAGTATAGACTGCTTGAACTTGGGTTACATGACACTCAAACAGTACCCCCCCCCCCCTCCGACTGCAGTAGGTCTACTAAAGGGCTACAAACTTTGGCGATGAGCTCTAGCTTTGTTCAAGCGAGCATTCATTGAGGAGGGTACTCTGAGCTGGATGATGAAAGAAGGATTCCAAGGTGATGATTTTTCAACCTGAAGGATTTTCTGCTGACGAGAGTGCCAAGACAAATGGGGTGTTGATGTCGACGACGGCGCTTTTGATTGCGTTGATGGAATAATATACCATCCGGGTGAGTAGGCCTCAGTGATCCGGGGAATGGTATAAAGGGTTTCTGAATCATTAGCAAAAATAATTCCATATCATCCGCCAGGACAAGAGCACCGCAGTTTCTGCCTTTAGATGAAACCCTTGTATTTGTAAGTTTTAATTATTTAATCAGTTCATCAATGAATACCAGGTAGAAGCAAGGGCCTTGATAGGCACCTTGTGATATTTCGAAAAGGTGGCAGGAGAAGCCATCGTGCCAGAGTCTGGCACGAAGCCCATCGTATAGTTCGTGAGTGATCAGCCACAATGATGGTAATTTTGAGAGGAGAACATGGCGCCACACTAATCAAAGGCCTTGGTCGCGTCAAGGAGAGGGAGGTGCGTTACCGTGCGTCCAGAGTTAAACTGTAGTGTATATCATTATATAATTGAATGTTACAGTACGAGTGGTGCTCATGTAGTTGACAGTGTCTGTCATAACCTTTCACTTTCGCTCATGGATGTGAATAATAAGATCTTCTTTGAAGGAGTTGGGAATATGAATATTGGCCAAAAAGGTGTCGAAGAGAAGGGGATGAGACCAGAATTGATAATGTGTTCTGGACTAATACTACCATGACCACATACCTTGCCTGCATGGTGACTGGTCTCAGCTGTGATAAGGCTTGGATTATGTCTTTTGAGCGCTCCGTAGAATTTTCAATGATTAGCCTCCTCTCTGTCCACACTAAGTGAGTCCGAAGAATCAAATTTAGACATTGAAAATTCCCCGAAGTAGGTCTCCCATCATTTGAGTTCAAGATGACCACTGTAAGAATGACCTTTATTTGCGGCAGCTGGGGGGAAGGGAGCCTGATGACAACTTTTGTTTTTGGATGAGCCTATGAAATATTTTGTTGTCAGCGTGATTTGTAGATTCAATGTCATTGAATATTTTCATTTTGACATATTTAATACTCATTCTGAGGAATTCCATAAAGTAATGCTTCGTGCTGGAGTCTGACCGTCCATTCCCTTTCAGCGTCTTCCGTCCTGTTCCATCACACGATAAGAGTGGTCAACCTTATGGTTCAATAAATATTTCTGGTTCTTTCTTTTCTTTGGTAGTAAGTGCGGGAGTGTTTATCAAGCTTTTCTTCAGCTTTTCTAAGGGAGATAGTATAACAGGATTAGAAAGTAAGTTTTGCCAGAGTTCTCTGCATGCTGAGTTAAGGGGTGACGTGTAAAGCTTATTGTGGTTCCCTTTGGAGACTTCGTGCCATACTTCTACTTCTACGACGATACTCAGCAGGATCCATAAGTCAGGATGTAGTGCTGAGGAATATGTTGATCCATAAACAGTCGAATTTTGTACCGAAAGAAGTAAAGACGGGTTGGTAGCCGATTGTTGTGGAATAGTTCTCAAGGGCATATTTTGAGAGTGATCAAGTGCAATGTCGAAGTTAGAAAAGTAACTCCTTAAATTATTAAAAGAAATGATGGAGTCTCTATAGGATTTCTTTCTTCATCATCACTACAGAACGCGAAATCCCCAGGTTCGTGATTGGAGATTCATGAGAGATTATTTGTGGCTGAAAAGTTAGATAATAGACGAGCTGATCTTTTCCAGAACTGACGTTGTTTCTAAATGTCAGCATTGAGGTCAGCAAGTAAAATGCAATTTGTTTCTTCTGACATGTCATTAATGGAGTGCTACTGTTCAGCAATAATGGATTGGTGGTTATTTCATGTGGTTTCCATTAGATATGTAGAATAACAAAAATACAGGATGCGGTTGATCAGGATCGGACTTGAACTCGTATGTCAGCAATTCTGTCTAAAACGGAGAGACTACGGGTTCCCACTGTTTTGGGGTAGTATAAGGCCACACACTTGCACGTTTTTTAAAAATTAAGTAATGGTGTGAACAAGTTGCTGACATTTGATTTGGCGTAGACAAGGTGATTCAGACTTAAGGAACCTAGTTTATGGATTTTTTTCCAAATCTTTAAGATACTCGTTTTATTTTGACAAGTGCCCCTTCCCCTTCCGATAAGTGTACTTGTCATCTCTAAAGAATGTCCCTCCTCTAGTAACTGCCCATTTTATTTTGACACGTGCCCCTTTTCATTTATAATAAATGCTCTTTTTCCATCTTATAAGTGCCCCTTCTCCTTCTCATAATTACCCCCTTTTTTAACCTCTGACAATTACCCTGTGAACTCGAACACGTGCTCCTTTTCTTTTCTAATAAGCGTCTTTATCTCTTTCGAAAAGTGTCCTCCTTTTCTCTCAACATTAAACACGCCCCAAATTTTCAAGTGACTAAGAGCGATTTTCATAAAGCTCACTCACTACGCTAACTCGCATGAATTATAGATGATATTATTATGTTACTTATCAAAGGTGTTTTCAGTCTTCCGTTATGAAAATGTGCTTATAATCCCTTCAGGATTTGGTTTTATAACTGTTTATAAGATGTAATTGTTTGCACTACGACCTCACAAGTCTTAAAATTTATCCTCGCTCGCAAATGAATTTTCAGATCATCACACCCAACTGCAAAGTATGATGCTATCTTGTTTGGTGTGTAAAGAGATACTACATTGTTCAAATCATCCCTGATAATATGTCTAACTAATGTCTAACAAATTATATATTTCTCTTTGTAGGTGCCCTTTTTTCTCTACAGAAAGTGCCCTTTTGTTGGTACCCCCCTCCCACTTTGGAAGTAGCTCCACCGCGCCTGTCTCTAGGCCTACTGGTTTTAAGCTCATCGGGGGCAGTTTTTAAAAATATATTTGCATGACTTCCTTTTATAAATGATAAATGTGTATTATTATTGTTAATATTTACGTGGAAATATTTTAAAAAAAAAAAAAATTGAAAAACTTACCCTCAGAGGAAACTATGCCAAGGACTTCACAATTTTAAGAATTCAATCCTTTCTATTAAGAACGAGCTTTCTTTTCACACAACTCCTTTTTTTGTTGTTGATTTTTACTGACAGTACAGTCGCGTGATCGTATCCAACGTGTTGCAAGTTGCGCGCTAAAAGTTATGACGTAATAATAACATTACCACTTTGCATCCGTAGTGCATAACATACGTCACTGAAACATTTTGTTGCTATTTGCCCCTCCTGGCAGAATTACAATGAACTACTATTTTTTATTTGTTTATTTATTTCTAATTATTTGTCAGGGTAGCCCATTCACCAATAATTAGTGGTCTTCCATGGGGCCCTGAATAAACATGAACATATTTACATCAAGAAGCATAACGTTTATACAGAACGTGTACTATTTGCATACTAGTATTTGGCCAGTTTTCATTTGTAAGTCAACAAAGAAAGTGCACAAAATACAGACGTATTCTCAAAGACTTAACCTTTCTCTTCTCACAATAATTCATATTGGGGGATATAGGCCCATGATGCAAATCGGAGCTATAGGAATGATTTCCTGAATTGTGAAATTGTGAACATGCATAAATAAATAAATAAATAAATAAAGTAGGCCTACATGGGTCACAGGGCCATCAAAAGAGGGGGGGGGGACGAAAGGGGTTGTAACATCTTCTTGCTATTTTGACTCCCCTTTTACTTTCCATTCTATAATTTCTCTATTCCCCCTCTTTCATCATTAGATGGGGTACCCTTGTGCCTCCCCTTGTCCTATAGCTCCACCACTTTCGTCATTGGATGGGGGTACCCTTGTGCCTCCCCTTGTCCTATGGCTACGTCACTGGGTGTGATCGCCAATGTGCACCAATTTTTCATGGCAGACAAAAACCCATACCGTCACATCCTCATGCGTCATCATGTTACTACAGCCGCTTAAGGAACCCCCTGGTGAACTCCAATTTTTACACCTGTACATGATCCAGCTCAATCAAATCTACTATCGGAATTGCTCCATCAAACGGGTGGTGCGCCCTCATGAGACGCGCTGTGTTTATTTTTATGTTTATAAGGTGTTTTTATTTTCTCGATACCAGAGGCAGTACATAAAACCAAAATCATGCAATTTACATCATACTTAATACTTGACATCATTCAGAATAATCATAATACAATTCAAAAGTTTAA